GTCAAATTTAAGTGAGAAATGTTCACCTTTAGAAACCTTTGGTCTCAAATCACATTGGAGTAAAATTTTTACACTATTATTACCTTAAATAAAAATACAACTATTTCAAGGTATTGGCATAAAAATGTAAAGAACATTATCTGATTGCTCTTCAAAATCAAATCGAAAAGAAAAAACATACTTCTTTAGAACAAATCTACAAAATATAAAATTGCATCTTCCTGTGTCTTCCTGGCAGCAGCCAGTCACTGCATGTTGGCATTTTATAAAATCTTTTTGTTCAACCAGACTTTAAGTTCATTATGTATAAAAATGAATTCTTTAAAAGGTGAAAAAACTTTTAATAACTTAAATAATGTAAGCAAAAACTTAAATAATGTAAGTTATTTTATTTGTAATTTAGAAAAAAGTTCAAAATATAGAATAAATGTGTAGTAATTAAATAGTAGTTACTAAGTACTTAGTGCACATCATATTTCACTCTTAATTGTTCTCGTTTTTGTAGTTTTTATGTCATCTACTCCTTAGTTAAAGTTACAATCTCCACACATGGCCCTTGGTTTAAAAGTTAAGCATTAACCATTTTTAGCCTTCATGCGTGGATGTGTGTGTTGACTGTGCCATGGAAGTCGGGACATATTTCCTCCTGGTGACATTCCTGAGCCTGAAGGCTGTTTATGTATGTGTGTGAGTGTTTTGGTGGGGGCGTGAGGGGGGGAGTGCAGAGCAATGTGAAGCGCTTTGTATTGTACTGCCGGTGTGTGAGGTCAGCACTTTCCTTCCCAGCAATCAGTCAGTCATGCCCCCCAGCGCAGCCCAGCAAATACACCCACCCACCGTTCACTGCTAACAGGACGAGGCCTCAGCGGAAACCGGAGGTCACCTAATCCCTCAGTGACTCCCCGACCCGTGGGCTCAGGGTTTTTCATTGTCGCTCAACGCTGTGGTCTCACTCAGCTGCTTTTCATTTTGTCGTCCTGCCTGATAAGTCGTTTGGTTTGTTGGTGCATTTGGTCCTGTTCTGGCCACTTCCCCTGGTCAGGAAGTCGATGGCTGTCAGCATTCAGCCTGTTGGCTCAGGGAGGTGTGGTGAGATGGTGTTGCCTTTTCCACCTGGTTTTCTGGAAATGATGCAAATCAGCCTCATTTCCAGACAGCACGGCTCTGGTCTCAGAGCCCGACACGGCCCTGAGTCAACACAGGTTGGCTTCATCAGATCCATCCAGCAACAATTTTAAATCTCCTTGTCTCCAGTCTTCACTCTGTGTCCCTCTCTTCCTGTTACTGAGTGCGAGGAAACTTGGAGAGTGAGAGGTGAAAGGGGATTAGGGAATTTATTGTGTTTGTTAACAACCCCAGATGAAAGCTTGGGTGCAATTGTAAAACAGATGTAATGCCTTCACAGCTGCTCCATTGGTCAGCTAATCTTTTTCACTAATGCCTCCAACCCCCCTCCTGAGCCACATGCCCACACATCAGCCCCTCACCTTTATGGCTCCTTGTCTGCCCCAGCCTCCCCTCCTCTACCTCTGTGACCTCTGGCTCATGTTACCCAGGCCTCCTCCCCCATCAGAGGCCCCCTCTGTTCCCTGAATCCAGGTACCCCGGATTGCTAATTACTTGTTGTCACCCTGCATATAAACACACAGACATGACATATCGCCATTTCACGCAGTTTGGAGATGAAAAGAGGGGAAGTGAAATAAATGAGGGCAAGGACAAAGCCAGGCTCTTTTGCCCCCAGAAATGACCAGAGAGCTGCCCTGATACAGATCTGACACTGTTTATTTCTCGCTTCGCTTTATTTTTACAAGATCTCCTTCGCTCGCTGGCCATTCCTCTGAGTATAACCTTTCTCCCTTTCCTTCTCGTCAGTGCGAGCATGTGTTTGTTTTACTTGGCCAATGACTCTGTGTAAAGCCACGCACAGTTTAACGCACCCTCAGGCAGACACGACCTTTCTGCCTTCTAAAAAGCTCAGTGCCGTATTCAATTGTCAGCCCCCACCTCTCTCCCTTCCCATTCTACTTATTCGTCATGTCCCGGGGCCAATTTCTGTTGTCAAGCCACCATGTTACCCATTCATCCATCTATACGACCGGGCATTCATCACTGTCGGCATCTCATTCGTCTTAAGTTCTGCCGACACACCAGTGAGCCCTCAGAGGCTCTAGAGCCACTCCGGCTCCCTGAACGTAACAGGCCCTTGCACTCATTCTTTATAAACAAACACGGGCCACTCAAGGCACACAGAGCCCCTAACATGACAAACAGTTCCTTGTTTGTGGCAAGAGAGAGGGGAAAAAAGGGCCACTCTTAACTTTGTTAAATTTCTCAACTGCAAAGAAGCCCAAGCACTTTTGTTTATGAGCGCCATCATCTCAGTAAACCCTTTTATGGGATTTGTGCATGCGTTCATGTTGTGTCAACACATTTCAGCTTCCTTTTTGGTTATTATTCTGTTCCTCGACTCTTAGCCTCAGTTTTGGTTACTCTGTTGCTCGTGCTACCTCGTGCCTCCACGCTTTGATTGGCTGCTTTAGGAAGGAAGGCAGCGTCAGCCGCACACTTCCTGTTTCCTGTTGTGTCCAGCAACAATCCAAAGCGCCCCTCGACCTTCTCCGTGGAACAAGGAAGCTCGCTTTCCTCAGACTTTTCTTTTTTGTCGAGGAATTCTCTCTTTAAATACCCCAGCTGTACTGTCGCTGTGACTCATATTTGGAATATTTGAGGTACACAAACCCATTCACCTTTACCACCAAAAGGTTGGCTAGAGCTTAAGCTATGCAGTCCTCGGCCTCCCGTTGGGTGGTGTGCACTGGAATGCATCTTGATTATAGAGGCGGCACACAGTGTAAGGCCATTATCTCCACAGGCCTGACCACGATGCATTGCAGCTTGCACTGTGACACCAAATAGAGGCGAGTCCTCCTCTTTTCAGATGCCATGTGGCATTTCAGCTATTCCCATCTGCAACGCCTATGTGTGCATGTTTTTCCTTTCAGCTTTTGAATGGCATGGCTTTCTCCTTGCCTGCTGGTCAGTGGTGAATAGCAATGTTAATGGGTTAGCTGGGAGGAGAGAAAGCAGGAGAGCAAGGAATTTGGGAATTACATAGAAGGAGAGGTAGGGAAATTAATCAGGGTTTGGGGCAACAGCTGTTCCCCCTCCTCAGACCAAGAGTTTGTCCCGGCATGTCTCCTTTCTTTCTTCAGTCCTCAGCAGGATACAGTATCCCCCTCTTCCTTTCTTAGCCCTTCTGTCACTACTTCCCGCCTACCTCATGGCTTGCCCGTCTTCTGTCCTGTCTGCGTTAATGAGTAGTCGTATTTATAAGTGGAACAGCTGCCAAAGATGGAACAGAGATGCAGGACTAAACTCGGTGCAGTCCCATTGGCCAAAGATCCATACCCTTCTTTGTGCAGAGTAATTTTTCTTGCCACAATTGTTGTCAGGCTCTTAGATAACACACCTCCTCACATATGCTCTGCGTCAGCTCGGTGAGCCGCAAGTTTATAAAAAGCTGAGCAAAGTTGAAGCGAGGCTCATGGTCAATCGGCTAAATCCTCTTGATATGACTCAAATGGAGCTGCAGCCATGTGCTTTCCGTCTTCCATGTGGTCACTTGTGGCTTCCAAATGAGCTTCCCCCAAGCAAGACGAGCCGAAGGGCAAGCGACACGGTATCATAGCGTGAGGCTGATATTGTCTCAGTTTTAGCGCTGCTTTTTTTCAATTAGCCTCTTCAGGAATCTGACCTTGTTTGCTTATCACTGACTGTCTCAATGCTTTTCCCAGTCAGTGTCAATGCTGTATATCCGGCTGCTCACTGCGAAGGCCTCATTTCATTTGGCTAACACGATCTGTTCCTACAGTGCCTAATCTCTCTTTTACCACAGTTTTCTCAAATTCTAATGTCTGTTTCCTCTGATGCATGTTCATTTAACTGCACTGGTCCGTGGCATTGAAAAGCGTTGTGTGTGCGTGTATGCTTTATGTGTGTAGCTGAACTGAATGAGCAGAAGGACATGAACAGGTGAGAGGCTGTGGACCTAATCCCTCTCCTGATGCCACATTGTGTCCAGTAGTGTGCTTTGCATACATGTCTGTGTATTTTGTACATGCACACGACTGTGGGTTCATGTGAGCATTGCATACACAGGCGTATGTGTGCGTGCGTGTGTTTATGATCATCCTATGGTGTGAGCAGCAGCCTCAGGAATGCTCTCACAGAGTTAAAGGGCAGCAGTCTCAATTTCACCCTCCTTGATGGTGCGCTCTCAAACCAAATTTCACACTGTATTAAGTTCATATTTCGACATTTCCTTGCACAGCTGGGCGTCCTACCTGCATTTCTTTATTTAGAATCCGAAGTGTGAAATTAGATGTCACCTTATCTAGGCGATGCCGTTTCAAAGTATCCATGTGGGTCTCTGAGAGAAAGAAATATAATAGACTGTTGGGTGCCAAATGGCACTGTTTGGTTGCTTTGCTGGTTGCTCTCGCACCTTTTCTTCTGTAGTTATGAAAACTGACTTAGGGTTTCAGAATGTCAGAATACTGGTTGTGTCTCTTGAGCCAGACAGTAAGACAGAAACAGTTTAAGAGAGGAAAGTGTGTGAAAACGTTGGGAGTATGAGTAGCAGCATGGTAGGAACTGTGATTGTGTTTCAAGGTTTGGCTCAAATGAGCATCATTTTATTTGTAATGACCAGAGTTTTATTGAGTGATCTGAACACTGTGCAGACTCCTCCTGCCTTGTTCCCCCGCCCCCTATATTTCTCTATCACCTGCCTAAATGTGGTATTTAGCCACGACACAATGAAGTGTCCCCTCGACCTCTACGTGTTGCTCTCAGGGGTCAAAAGTTCAAAGCATTTCAAAGAGGCTTGAACAATCTGGAGAAACTTGCTTTGCTCTGTGCCATTTAGGATGCTGCCAGAAGTCCCTATTGTCTTCTTTGGCTGATCATTTGCTGTGAATGTCTTTTTCTCCTTGCAGAGTGTCAGCCAGGCTTCTTCAAAGCTGAGGCATCCAGGGACAAGTGTGAACCCTGTCCTGCCAACACCCAGAGCCAGGACTCCAGGTCTTTATTCTGTGTGTGCCTGGATGGCTTCTACCGGGCTCTTACAGACCCAGTCACTGGACCGTGCTCAGGTGAGAATTGTGCAGAAATTAATGCATACTTCTATAAATTACTTGTTATACTAAAAGTTAGAGAAGTACTGAGAAAACTTCTGTTGTTTACAATCGAAAGATGTTTATGCCAGCCAGATACAAGCAACGTGTCCATTACGAATGTGTGCAAAACTTTGGTGGTAGTCCAGAAGAAACGCAATAAGTACTTAAAAGAACATGCCGCGTCGGCATCCTCCTACCACTTCCTGTTGTCTTCTTTGTCTTCTTATGATTGTTGATCACGTGACTCGTGTTATGCAAAAGTGTTTCCATTGCAATTTAGCAAAAATACATTCATTTCGATGTAGCTGAAAAACAACCTCATCATAGTGCAAAAACATTTTATCAAAAATATGAATTTTTCACAAAATTGTTGCAAATTAATTTGCCCAATTCCAATTTGTGCAATTATATAGTCAATTCAAACGTGGCTCCAAGAGCAAACAGTTTAGCGATTCTGGTTTGCGTTACTGACAACACTCTTTACTGTGGATGCAGATACAAGGAGGATCTTGGATCTATTAGCCATTTTCACTATAATTGATTGAACTATGACAGCTGTTAGAAGCAACAAGAGAGAAAAGACACATTTCTACTAAAAGTAATTTCCTTTTTACACTAAATTTTCTTGTGTAATTGGATTTGTACAGAATAAAATGTACTCTGACCATTTTCATGATTATGAAATCAGTAAATGAGTTCATTTGAAATAGCATTTACCTTCATAACTGTTGAGAAACAAGCATTATTCAGAAAGTGTCTTTGCTCTTGTACCTACTATATATTCTATGTTTTTCCGATCTGTCCCTGCCAGGCCTCCCTTCTGCCCCTCGAGGTCTGGTGGCCACTCCCAACTCTCTTACCCCAGGAAAACTGCTGCTTTCTTGGCAGCCCCCTGAAGACACTGGAGGTCGAAGCGACATTACCTACAGCGTTGAGTGCCATCGTTGGGAGGGCTCGTCACACCTGCCCTGTGGAGAGAAAATTCGCTATGACCCAGCAAACACAGGCTTGGTTGACACGAAGGTGTCAGTGAGTGAACTGGATCCTTACTTGAACTACACCTTCACCGTGGAGGTGCACAGTGGCGTGTCCATGTTTCCTAGACAGGCAATACCGCGCAGTTTCAAGCCGCCGTCCTCTGCCGCACTGAATACATCCCTTCACTACACAGGTGAGTGCTGGTGATATGAAGAATGGCTGCGATGCTATCTGTGCTGCAGTAATGGCTGATGCTATCTGTAGTGACGGCTGTACAGTCCGAATGAGGCCTGGGGAGGGGAGTGAATTGTCCATTTTATCGTTTCAGAATTTTAAAATTAAATTGTTTCCTTCTCCATGTTTTGTCCTCAGATCCACCCAAAATTACGTCAATGCGTCTGGTCGAGCGGGACTCCACCAGTTTGTCTCTCTCCTGGGACGTTTTCCCTCGTCCGCGGGTCCAATCCCAGCCAATCCGCTATGAACTTGCCTACCGCAAAAAGGTGTGGAAACTTTTTAATAGTCCCTGACAGCACACACAGATTAAAGATCTTAACTTCACGTTTACATTTAGTCCACATGGCACGATTAAAGCTCTTAGGAAATGCATTTTGTGTTTTATTTTAATGGGCATGCAATTGGATGAGTTTCTGACGACAACTTAAAAAACAAAAGAGAGGCTTCTTAATAGGTGCTGCTTTAACACCGTGGTTATTGGTGGACTTTTCTCTTTTTACTAGGACAATAAAATCGACGTAACTACGTATGTGGTGCTGAAGCTGGAGAAAAACTCTGTGCAGATTAGCGATCTCTCACCAGGCACAGCTTACCTGGTCAAGGTCCAGGCCCTGGGTGATGACGGCAACCAAGGAGTTTCCAGCTTGGAGGAACAATTTGAGACGCTGTCTGAAGGTGCAGGGAGAAACCGCTCTAGGAAAAACTTACTGGCTTTGTTTGGGAGTCGTCTCACTGGTTTATTTTTCTTGCAGGTCACCTTAACAAGACTGCTCTTATCCTTGCTGGGGTGGTTGCAGGAGCAATCACGCTGTTCATTCTGACCGTCATCCTTTTCCTGCTCAGACGGTAAGTAAGCGGCCCACTCTGCCGCTTTCCCTCCTTCTTATTCTGTCCCGATAATCTGACACAACACGACATCCTTTGCTGCCTTCCTCTCTCATTCTTCTGCTTTTCCTTTGTGGGGCCTCCAAATGGCCTTTGCATTCACTCTCTCCTCACCTCTTTCTTTCACTCTTCCTTTAGCAAACCGTCTTTTCTCTTTATCTGGATGTGTATGCCAGCACTCACCGGGGAGGAATTTCTGCTCAATGTGTCTTGTCATTGCGCAATGGTTGCAATCTACCAAGTGTTGGAGCCTTTGAAAGGAAATTAGACATGAGTGGCACATTGTTGTCGATAAGAGGCGCTCCCTTCTTTTTTGTACGAGGCGGTGGGCACTTTGTGAGGGTGACCCGGGCCTGTACTGTAGCAGATTGTAACCAGCTCTTTCCCGCCTGCTGGCTTTCAGCCTTTGAATTGGCTCAGCAAATACAGCCCATCGCCAAAGCCTTGTCAAAGAAACGCTTCTGCCTCAATGAATGCAATGCACCAGAGGTCTGAAAAAAAAAAACAAATCTGGAAAATTTTCTTAAAAAGGTTGCTGTAGTCTGGTGCCACCTGGATCGGTGCACCATGTATAAGAGCCATAGCCCTTCTAACAGCTGTCCTGGGTTCAGTATTTGTTTTATTTACTGCCACTCGTCCCCTTCTCTCTCTCTGCTATTCTGATCATCATCCACTGATGAGTAAAAGGCCTACAGTGCCACAGTAAAAGATGTCTAGAACAAGAGTGTTCATAACTGTTAAGCTTTTCTACATTTTGTCAATTCAAAGTAATGACCTATTGTTTGGTCGTAATGGCTTCACCTCACATGAGTCAGCACTTCATGGAATCAGCTTTTACAGCATGTACACCTCCAGGTCTTTTGGGGTTTGTCTCTACCTGACTTGTCTGGTTTATACCTATAGAAACTGAAACTTTTGGCCGTTCCTATTTGCAAAATGACTCAAACTCAGTCAGACTGAATGGAGAGCATCTGTCAACATCAATTTTAACAGTGTGTTCAGACCTGAAAGTCCAAAATTAGACCAGCATTTGTTACTTTTTCAGCTGGTGCAGTTCAGTTTCACTCAGCACTGTGTCAAATGAACCAAGCACTAATTGAAAAACCTGGCCTTCTTCACAAAATGTAAACAAAAATTGAGTGCCGTAATATTTTAGTGGCTGTAAGATTGCTTTATCTTTGACCCAGAATGCTCTGCACTATAATTTGCTTCTTGGTTTTGGAGCTGTCTCCGGTCCATTTGCATTCAGATATACAAATCGCACCAGAGTTCACTTGAGCCGAACCGAGACTTGGGTTTTTAGACGGGCCAGAGTTTGATTACACATTCACACCTACCTCAAATAAACTGGACATTCTCAAGAAATAAATTAAAGATGGATTAAAGAAGGCTGGCGCGAATGCACTCTTAGACTTTCCACAGATTCTCGGTTGAATAAGTTAGGTCTGTACTTTGACTGGGCCATTCTAACACAAGAATATGCTTTGATTTAAACTCTTCTGTTGTGATTCTCTGCAACATCCTCAATATATTTTCCCAACTCTGATAGGTTTGCAGTACTGCCTAGTGCACCTTTCTTGTTCCCTCCGAAAATAAGCATTCCCACAACATCATGTTGCTGCCGCCATGCTTCATACTTGAGATCTTGGGTTTAGGATGATATGCACTGTCAACTTTCTGAAAAGCCTAGAAATATGTATGAAGGACAAAATGTTTAATTTTAATTTATCATCTGACATAAGTACCTAATTCCAGATATCTGCTACATCGCCTACATATAAGTTTAAATTTCTCTGCAAATCTGTATCTCAACTGTTTGTTCCTTATTCCTCATGCAATAATATGATCAAACAAACCTCAAAGCATCACTTTCCTTTACCTTTATACTTATATATGTTGGTCAAGCAAATAACATATCACAATAAAATCTCTTTGACATATAGTTGTATCGTGACAAAATGTGTAGAAGTTCAAAGGTTTGATTTAAAAATTGTGTTATTTTTTTTATTCAGAAACAGAAACACACATACCAGGCAAGGACCAGAGGACACTTACTTTTCAAGCCCCGGTAAAAAAACAAACAAACTTGAACTCTCTTTTTTTTCATTTAATTATATTTGTCTTCCTCATTTGTTAACAAGCAACCATCTTCCTGTGCCTTGCAGAGCAATTAAAACCACTAAAGACGTATGTGGATCCACATACATACGAGGACCCCAACGTAGCTGTCCTCAAGTTTGCCACTGAAATCCACCCGAGCCACATAAGCAAACAGAAAGTCATCGGAGCTGGTGAGTGACAACCCTGCTGAGTTAATCTGCTGTGAGGCTTAGATTTAAAATCTTGACAGGTCTGTCCATTTGCACACCCCTTCTCAGCCCCCCAAATATTCCCTGTTTATACTGCACACTAGTATAAACAGCTTAACAGGCTAATGGGTGGTTTTTACATTGCTGAGATTAGGATCTATCTGGCTTTTTTTTTATTTTCTCACCCGACAAGTTGAGAGATCTTTTTGTTCTGCGGTTAACTCTTGGCGAGGACATCTTTATGATTTGGTCCAAGATTACATGAACATTGCACAACAGAAGTGGCTGCAGACACACAGTTTTGGAAGAACATCACAACACCTTCCTGGGGCTTGCTTCAACATTCCCACTGAGGATACGTTCGTTCAAGTGCGACCACCTTTAGCCTTTGAACCAAGAGTCCATTTGAGCCCCCCCTCCCCTGCTCCCACGACCAAATGTCCCCTTTCCTTCTCGCGTGACAGCTGATTCCCATGCTCCCACACAACAGGTCGTCAACTATTTATACAATGTTGCTTCTTTCTTTCTTTTTCTCCCTCTCTCTCAATGCCGAGCCAGAACACACCTCGGTGGGAGCGCCTCAGGCAAAACAGCCGCAGTCTTCCTTATTTCTTTTTGTTGCTCTGCCAAGCCCTGTGGCTAGAAACTTAAGAAAACTCATCGCACCAATATATACATATAATATATAATATATAGTATATTATATATATACATATAATTCAACTGTCCAAATTATAATAAAAAAATATATATATATATGTTTTTTTTTCCACCTACAGGCGAGTTCGGTGAAGTTTACAGAGGCACCCTGAAAGCGCCTGGGAAGAAAGAGGTGGCGGTGGCGATAAAGACGCTGAAGCCCGGCTACACAGAGAAGCAGAGGCAGGATTTTCTGAGCGAAGCCTCCATCATGGGACAGTTTTCCCACCAGAACATCATCCGTCTGGAGGGAGTGGTGACCAAATGTGAGGCTTTTTCTCCACTTTCTTTTTTTCTGCATATCTGATCGGTCAGTTTGGGCTCATAGTTTGTTCTGCTTCTGTGCAGTTAAACATGCGATGATTGTGACTGAATTCATGGAGAACGGAGCACTGGATAGATACCTGAGAGTAAGACCAATATGTTTCTCAAGGTTGTTTTTTTGAGATGTGATTTATTTTCTCACGTTTTCTCAGAGGTGGCGGTGGCGTCTTTATCGCCACTGCCTAAATACTACATAACTAGTATTTATAGTAGTAATGTAAAAAAAAAAAAAAGCAGCAAAAAACCAAAATGATTCTCGAACTTATTTTTGCATCAGGACCATGACGGGGAGTTCTCGTCTCACCAGCTGGTGGGAATGCTGCGTGGCATCGCCGCAGGCATGAAGTACCTTTCTGAAATGAGCTACGTTCATCGTGACCTGGCTGCCCGCAACATCCTGGTCAACACAGCCCTGGAATGTAAAGTTTCAGACTTTGGCCTTTCCCGGGTGCTTGAGGACGATCCTGAGGGGACATACACCACCAGCGTAAGTACATGCTTTGATTTTGAGGAGTAAAATTCACTGGTGTTTTCTTTGTTCTCTGTTTTCTAATAAATCTCTGAGGCTTGTAAATTATAAGTAATTTATTATTATGTATTGTAAATAATAAAATAGTTAACTCTTGAGGGCAATTGGTTGCACAATTCATAGAACATCACCATTCCTGTATTTTTGTGTTTCCATTCTGATATGAGTATTTAAATATCTATCGATTAGATAGTACAAATGTGTACAAATCATGTAAAATCTACAATAATAACATATAGTAATTGCTATACCTGTATTAATTACATGCATTATTATATGCACAGTAAAGCAGTATACATTTGCCAATGTCAAATTTATTTATAAAGCACTTTTGAAACTGTTGAAAGCGCTGTAAAGAAGTATACTATATAATTATATAGTATATAATTGAGTTCACGGCACTGGTCAAAATAACAAAAACAAAAATTACAAACAATCTCATTCAGTCATTTCAGCTTCAGAACAATGTCTTAGACTAAGAGACCAGAAAATGAGGACAAGCTGCTGGGTAACAGAATTTAAAAGCCCAAATCTTGAAGGAATAAAGGAGTTTGAGAATTGTAAATTGTGGTCACGGTGTGATAAATGTGAAAAGTTAAAGAGACATTGAATTATGGTTTTTGCAAGCATTTTATTTTGCAAGCATTTTATTTTTTTTACTATCCTCTCTGACTCAATGGTTTTCCTTGAGCAGGGAGGTAAGATCCCCATCCGCTGGACGGCCCCGGAGGCAATCGCCTACAGGAAGTTCACCTCGGCAAGCGATGTGTGGAGTTTCGGCATTGTCATGTGGGAGGTCATGGCGTTTGGGGAACGGCCTTACTGGGACATGAGTAACCACGAGGTTCGTCTTCATTTCTTAACTTTTTTAGTCTGGAGATCTTTGGAAAAATGTAACAATTTAACAAAAAATAAATAAAATTACCATCTGCAGGTGATGAAAGCCATCAATGAGGCTTTCAGGCTGCCAGCGCCCATGGACTGTCCGTCCGCTGTCTACCAGCTGATGCTTCAGTGTTGGCTTCAGGATCGCGCCAAGAGACCGCGTTTTGGAGACATCGTCAGTCTGCTGGACAAACTCCTGCGCAGCCCAGAGTCTCTAAAGACCATCGCAGACTTTGATCCACGGTAAAACAAATTATAATTTTACCAGGCAAACTGCCTTTAATATTTTCTGATGCAGATGTTAAAATTCTATTAACATATAAAGAAAATTGGGAATTTATGAAACTACGTATTAAAAAAAAATACTGAAGAGGCTCAAAGTGGGTGAGGCTGCAGAGTGAAAAAGTTAATACATGTGTCCCTTTTGTTTCTGATTCTGTGAATGAAAGTTTGTTTTTCCTATTGAGACAGTGCACAAACACCAAAGACAGTGAGAAAGAAAAAAGAGGTGTCATCCTCATATCTTAATCACCTCTTACCTCGACTGCCTCAACCAGTTTTTTCTGTTTTATCACCAACTGGTTTCCTGCACAGTAATTACAGACCTCAGTCATCTGTCTCTTGTTGTGGGAAAGCGTGTAAATAATTATCACTAACGTTTAGATCTGCTCCCTTTCTTTTCCCAGGGTTTCCATCCGCCTGCCCAGCACCAGCGGCTCGGACGGCTCCCCCTTCAGGTCGGTGTCCGAGTGGCTCGAGTCCATCAAGATGAGCCAGTACAGTGAGAACTTCACCCGTGCCGGGGTCGTCACCATGGACCAGGTGCTGCAGATGAAGAATGAGTGAGTGCTGGTGTTGGTAACAACACACTAACTTTAATATGGATTGTGTTCATTTCCTTGAGGCGCATTAAAAAAAAAAAAAAAAAAAATCGAATGAATAAGTAAAAAACAAACATCAAAACAGAAAGTAAGGTACTTAATATATTTGATATTATTAGATAAAACTGCAGTATATAACTTTAAAAATAAGATATGTTTTTGAGTATTTGTTTAAATTGTAATTACATTGTAACACTGAAAAATAATTTATGAAAAAAAAGAGTTCCCAGAGCTGGGAGAAATATACCACTCAGTCAGAAACAACCAATCAGAGCCAGGAGGAGGGTTTTAGTGCTGTCAATCACCTCCTTACCCCGTTGCTCTTTACTAAGCTAAAGCTGGTTCACCACAACATAGCCTGCCACAAATGCTAAGACTAGCTAGCATATCCATCTACAACAGTGGATGAACTTTGTTTTCCACCATCAGCAAATTGCGCAGCGTACAGGAGGGTGATTGACAGCGCTAAGACCCTCCTCCTGGTTCTGATTGATTATTTTTAACTGAGTGGTGTATTTCTGCAGACCACAATAGTAGCTCAGGAGTTGGAAGAACTTTTCACAGATTATCTGTATCATACTGTACTGCCTCGACGTGGGGAGATTTTAATAAATATGAAAAAAAAACAATAAAAGTCACATACTGGAGTTTTAAGAAAACTGATTAGCTTAATCAGTTTGGTGTGATTAACCTAACTGACTGCAAAAGAGTATTTTTAAACAGCTTGGGAAAAATTTCAAATGGAAAATCTAACGGAGTGAAGGAGCGGTGGGCACATTTTGCGGTGGAGTTGTGGTTTCTGTTGCTCTTATTCAGCTGCGCTCTCTCCATTCTCATCCTGCCCTCAGCCCAGACACACAGAGGCCAGCACTTTTGCCGGAGCCCTTAAAAACCACCAGTTTTGCTTGTTTGGGTCAGAAACCTTTGGTGGCTTCTCCAACATTAAAGGCGAGCGGTGTAGACTACAGCCAAGTGGAAAAAGATCGACTTGAAGCTGAAATAGATGCATCTGATCCGAAAACCTAAAAGGAGACTGAAGAAGTGGGCTTGTGTGCCCCCTAAAGTTTTCACAGTGCAGTTTAAGGGAATTACACCTTCCATGATGTGTAGGAGTTCTGCAGGAGGCAATTTACCCAAACAGGCGCAACCTTTGGGGGCCGGGCGAGGGAGTCTATGGTAAAACACATAATTTAAGGTTCCTTTTGAAGAATAATGAAGGCCAGAGAGTTTCTAACCACATAGCTAAAAAGAAGCCACCTTTTTTTTTTTTTTGCCATTGCACATTTGTAACCATGAGAACAAGACAGGAAGAGGTTTAAAAAAATCCCAAACTGTTAGAATGTAGGATCGCCACAGAAAATCCCAGGACAAGTAATGAGTAATTTTAAAGTTTCATGCTTGTCTTGTTCTAAGGTGGCCCTAATACCAATTGTTTTCATGAATTAGGCTTTTAATAGGTCATGTTTGATTAATTAATTACATAAAACATTTAAAACTATCAAACAGTTAATCAGGTTTCCTTTTTTTAAAACTTAAATTAAGTTGGAATTTTTAAATTGTGTTTCCGGTACCTCTGCAAATCTGACGTGCAAATGACATCCTCAAACAAAGCTGCGTTTCTTGGCCCAATACTGGGTTCATTTTTGCTGCAAAAAATGATTTGATGGAACGTTACAAAGATTGCTGCTGTGGGCAAAAAGGAGTTAGCCTGTTGGCTAAGCTATGCAACAATAGCATCTCAGTGCAAAACATGTAAAATGATTCCAGGTTATTGCTAATGCTAATTGTCCTGCAGTTGGTCAGTGACAGAGCTTACAAAATGCAAACAGCTTGCTCACTGCTGCACTAGCTGCTCCTAACCCAGCTGCGTAGAGAGCAGAAGATGTTCACCCCTTTTCCACTACACTACACTGATCCTGCCTTGCCTCAGTTTTTAGTTAAAAATTTAAAGATTCAGATAAACTTAGTTACTGAACCTTATATCATGAAATATCCAAGTGGATAATACTTTGTGAAAAATTATCTAAAAACGTAAAAATGTTAATGTCGTGAGATCTCATGCCACACAATTTTATTAAGCTCCAAACATACATGTAACCAACTTTCCTGATCCTTGGGAAGACGGCCGCACCACAAAGCCCAGACGAGCCCTTTTGAAGTGCTTGTCATGCAGCATGGTGTGATTTTTTTTGTTTTTTTTTTTTGTTTCCATCTTGGTGCATCTGGTAGCACTCTCTGGAAACCACCAGTCATTTACGATCCACCCTCTGCTTCCCAGACAAAGTGATTCATGGTCAACGGGGAGAATCCTCGTTAAGTAATTAAAGCTGTAATTAAGGCTTTGACTCCAGGCTGGTGTTTATGCAGGGCTTTTTGCAGGTTTTGCGTGTGTTTTTTTGCAAAGCGAAACCCCCACTAACACTCGTTTTATTGTGGAAGATGAGCTAAACCTTTGCCAGAGAGCGAACTTGGAATGCGCCGCACCTAACTGGACTGATTTAAAAGCTCAACCTGAACGTGTTCAACTCTAGGCTGGCATGTCATCACTCTAAATGAGACAGTGATTACTCCAAGACTTTGGCAGGCTGGAAGGATGCATGTGGAAACTGTTGGAACGAGGCCAGAGTGAAAATATGCGCATAGCTCTTCTTCAACACTGTTCTGTCTCTCCTCCACAGGGACATTAAGAACATCGGCGTGCGACTGCCGGGCCATTTGAAGAGGATAGCTTACAGCATCCTGGGCTTGAAGGACCAGACCAGCACCTTGAGCGTGTTTGCTGTGTGATCATTGCTGAATGAAAGGGATGTGAAATTGGACACAGGCAACCCTTTGAACTCCCAGGCTGTGCTGGAGCATTTTGTGGCGACGGCACCGAAACAGCAGAACCAGGAGAGAAATGTGCCAAGCTTTGGGCCAAATCAATCAGACTAATTTACTGTACCGTCTAGATTTCTTCATTTTTTTTGCCCACAGGGAAACGGAGCACATACCTTCAACAGATGTGTAAAGTAGAACCTTTTTGATATTTAAATAGCTATTTTTGTACTATAGTTGTCTTCCATGCGGATACGATTTGTTGCTCATTCACTTTCGTCCGTTTTCCATTCCTGCTTCAGCTCTGTAAAGTTGCACCCTGAGTTCATTTGTAGCAAATGAACAGGGAGAACAGCAGAGTCCTGTAAGAGTTCAGATTACGGCGGCGATGTCTCTGAGTCTCTCACTGATTGGCTCTCAGGAGGATGAAATAAGCTTGAGCTAGTTCAGATTTAGGGTAAAAATTAAAAAAAATTAAAAAACAGGTTGTGAATGTTTCTGCTGGTCCTGTGCAGAAATTAAGCTATGATCTTATGGGTGGTGTTTATATACAAAAAGACAAAAAACAGGATGATTAGGTACTTTTTTATTACTATTATTATTTCTCTTTTGCAATGAACTGTTACATAAAAACATCAACAAAAAAACATTTTTATTAGAACCATATAATGTAGCACTTGGAGCAAGTCTCATATTTGTCATATGATTGTAAACATAAATGGGCATTCGCAACCAAAAATGGACGAACTATTTGTGTCCTCTGAACCATTTTACATTTTGCCTCTTTTTATCGGGATTTCGTGCAACAGAGCAACACGGTGCTTTGTAGTGAATCATTCCCACAGCATGGTGCTGTCACTTACATGCTTCACAAGGAAATGTGTGTTTCGAGTGATGACTATTATTATCCTCCCTCCTCACAAAGTTTTGTATCTAAGCCTGAATTTTTTTAATTTTTTTGCTGCCATAGCAACCCGATAGTCCCTACTTTTACCTGATTACTAAGTTCCCTGTATTGTTTGGGAGTAAACTGTAAACAGGATTTTATATGACTATCTGGCAACAAGTGGCTTTGACTTGCCACACTTCCACTAAAGCAAGATTTGAATGTGTCTGGTAAAAGGCAACAGATTCAGCAGATTCTCCTCTCTGGCAGCAGGAGCTCTGCTGCTTGGTTTCCATCCCCTTTTGTTTTATGATCTCATCTTAATTTAAACCTGGCTCTAACTTCACCCCAAACCTGTTTGGTTTGGTCCGAGTCAAGTCATGTTATCATCCAAATCACGAAGCAAACATACATTAAACATAAATGTTCCAGTTATCATGGATCAGAGGCAGCGCTAAACAGCTCGGTTTTTAGCTTCGATGTAAAGGAGCTCTGTGCTGTTTTTGCCGCCATTGGCTGGATTTTATTTAAAGACATCAGAGTAAAAGGGGGCTCAAAAAGTTTCAAACGTTCCATTGTTCTTCCCTTTTGCAATAATGTACTACTTTGTGTTGGCCTGTCATGTAAAATCCCAATCAAATACTAGTAATTTTGTGTTTGTAATTTGCCAAAATGTGAAAAAGTCCAAGGGTATTAATTGCAAGGCACTGCATGTGAAAGTCGAGACTTTTTTGTAGTTGAAATAAGCCAGAATTCTGCCAAACTTGTCAAAAATAAATAAGGGTTAAGAAAAGTACTCACCGAAAAAAAACCAAAAACAGAACATCACCGCTGAGAGTTCGTAGCTATAGTCTTTTATGCAGTTTTACCATTTTGCAAGCGTCCTTACGAACATCCAATAATATTTTGAGTGAGTTATTTGCAGTTTTTACTGAAATGATTTAAGAATGAGCTGCTTGACTCATTCCAGACATTTAAAGAACTTTTTACAGTGCCTGTTTGTGGAAGATGAACACCAGCCTGCCTACTTCTCCTTAAATAAAGCGGCTCTTCTGTGTAGCAAGTAGTTTGTAGTTGAAACCCCCAGTGCTCTTAATCCATGACTGCAAATCTTGTGTGTTACTGATGTACACCTTCTTTTACTTGAATTTTTACCTTGTCGTTAAATGCGTGATTCTCTTGTAGCTAACAAAAAATGGGATTTATTTTTTTTTGTCGTTGTTTTTTTTTTTTTTTTAAAGGATTTATTTTTTTGTTAATATTTGGGTTTATTGGTTGGACTTGCATTTTGTAAATTTTGTACAATATCCTGTATCAATCATATTTTCAGACTGCTTTTTTTTTATGTGTGTGTTTTTGTTCTACGCTCATGACTTCCCAAAACTTTCTTCATCTAAGAGCAAACTCCTCCTTCCTTTTTGTCTGCTGTTTTATGCTGTATTTAATAGTGTATTTATTTTTGAACTGTTATTTATTTTTCCTGATAAACACTGAGCTGGGTTTGTAATTGGAGGTTGCTCATTAAGCCTTAATTAAAAGAAAGAAAAACACAAACAAAGCCATTTCCCTCCTTTTTGTTTTCATTTCTGAACTGTTCATGCCTGTGATTGCATTCTTGGCGAATAAATAAAGTCTTAAGCTGAATTCATCAAAGGTTGTTGTATAACTGTTTGTCTGCAGGGCAGACTGAAGTCGTATTCACGGTGCCGGGATGTTTATGCTTCCACCTAGACTTGCGTACAACACAGCAGAGTGATTGTAACTCGGAAGACGGGATCTGACGTAAACATGCGAGTGTTTCGTCATATCCTGAAAAACAATCTCACCATGCAGTCACACACAAGCATCCAGGCAGATGACGAGTGCAGTGGCTCTGGCAGTGGCTGCTGCAACCAGTTCAGATGATCTGATATCAATGGCAAAATATTTCAGTAAATAGCACTAAAAACTTGTATTTCGGTTTAGGATTCAGAACATAAGAGGAAGCGTATCATTTCAATGTCAGGAATACTGTATACTGATTACTAGGTGATTGGTGTGGACTTGCTAAGAAATTGAACTTTTTACTTTGAAACGTAGCATAAAAACTTATATTTTGACAAATTAAGCTTTCATTTTGTCAGGGTATTGTCAGTATTGTACTGTATAGAATGCTATTCAAAATAATTCATGAAACAGAGTTAAATATTTAAAAAATAAGATTTATTTTGAAGGGTTACTTAAATTCAGTTTTTATTTACTACATCAATCATATGCAGCTTCCTTTACAAAACAATACACTCTGTGAAATGCTGTGGCTTTTATTTTGAAAAATATCTTTAAGCCGTATTTTGAAAGGGCAACATAAATCCTGTTTAATGCAGAACTACCTTTGTAACAATAATAATAGCAGTAATAATAATAATCTTGTGACAAATACACTAAACTAAGTCCAAATTAATCCTCACTAGTTGAGATTACTTATAAATTTAAAAGCCTTTTACAATCAGTTACGATTTTAAAAAAATCTGATTTTACACAAAGTGAAATTCAAGCCTACATGCAGGAAGGCGTCAGAGAAGAGTATTTTGAAGTGTAACATGTTTGAAGTAAATCAGAAGCAGGTTTCTCTTGAAATCAGAGATAACTGTAGCTTCCTTAATGATTAGATCAGAGAATCTGATCTGGAGATGGTTCTGTTTGCAAACTCTCTGACTCACCCTCGTCTCCATCGTGCTTCTGGTCCTGTCAGTATTTTCCTACCGGGTTCCCAGCCCTCGTAGAAGTGTTTCAGTGAGAAGCCCCTTTCAGAACTGGCAGATCTCCAGAACCAGTGAGTAATTTAACTGGAAAATGTTCTATTGTAAACCCACCATGTACACAGGATTTATTGAAGGCGTTGTTTTCAGGTACAGATGAGTCATGAAACATAAAGCTCAATGATCTGTTGTGACTAATGCTGCTTTTTTAATTTAAAAGGTTAAAAGTCATGCCAGAACACATCGCGGCTATTTATCCTTATGCAAGATTGTGTTTGCTCTTGCAGCAGCTACACGGGGATGTAAGGCCTTTATTTTCTAAATAATCCAAAAGGAATGCATCTGTTTGAGTGTGTGAATAGGAGACGGAAGGTTTTGAAAGAGGATTAGATTTTTTTGCATGTCGGGTTGGCTTCGCTTTCCTGTAAGGTGAAGTCGTTTCTGTTTCCTTCACTTCTTGACTGAGAAACGACTCAATTAGTTGTCATTCTGGCTTCAAAGATTGATTTGATTCATCCAACGCAGACAAGGCAAAACAAATCCAGAATCTGAAAGGCAGTAACAAGGGACCAGGTAGAGTTCAGCTGGAAGTGATGGTCAGAATGCAGAAAACAGGTCAGGTACACAATCATGAACATCGACTTGAAGCTAGTTTAGATTTATGGCCCAAATTTCAGGCCAGAATAGTTTGCTTGACGGTCGGGTTGGGTTGCTGTGGAGGTTCTGTAGCAGGCCTGCAATACATGCAGTACAGAGAAAACCACACAACATAAAGTTGTGCTTAATCTGATTAACCTACTCATAGGTAGATTAAGTCGAAGCTGGAAGAAGTTAAAAAGCTAAAAGCAGGAGAAGTTACACTGCTTACTTATAAGTTGGTGTAAAAACAAAAGCAGTAGGATCTTAATTAAAACGATACGTCGGGTTTACTTTGGGCCTGTAGTTAAAGTCGATCAGTCAAGTTGGATCGGGATCAGACTTGGGCTCAGGTCAGGTTGTGTTGGGTTGTTTTTAGACCCGATCTGAACTCTACTTGGAACTGCTCCAGGTTTGAGACATGGACGATGACAGCAGTGAGTGAGTCCAGAGCAGGAGTTTACACAGGCAGCAGCGCAGAAGGCAGCAATCAGCGGCGGGCAGAAGTGGGAGGGGCAGAGCAAAGGTGCAACACAAAACACTACAGGAACAAGGAAGTCGTGTCATGGGTTAGGTATTTTTCTCATATCAATAAACCGCTGAAACACATGGAAGTTACGGGTCTTACTCCGAACCCCTGACAGGAATGCAGATCGTCTGCCAACACGTTAGCATCCTCTGCTTCACTGGCATCGGGTTTAATTTCATATTTCAAGAATCACACCTGCTGGAAGGGCAGATAAAATGGAACCCCAGCAGGTTTGTACATGCCGCGCTCCCTCCTGTCTTTACCTTGACTCAGTCTGCTGGTCTCATCTCCCAACCCTGCCTGCCCCTCCGTGACCCCTGACAGGGAAATCTCTGCTGCCTTGTGTTCTGAATAATCATCAACTTTGACAGATTGGTGCGACTCACACAGCCTTCAGTGAACGTCTTTAGATAAGAGTGTCGCACTGCAAGGAGGATCGTCGAAGGATTGAACCAACTAGCTACGTGTTGCAAGGAAACACGGCCTTCGCATGGGAACGTTTTGGATTTGCCACTGAGTGTCTCGTGAGCCTTCGTCCTTGACTTCCAGCTGGCTGTGTGTGTGTTCTTGCCTCTGTTAAACCAATAGGATGCCCAGAAATAGTCCTGGCTTATGTGGCGACTGTAAACTGAGAAAGCTTTCCACTAGTTTCCATCTCCAACCATCCACTGCTTTTAATGTATCACAGCACGTAAATGTTTTCATTTTATTTTATTTTTTTTACCCTCCTCTTCCATCCACAATGGAAAAACAGGAGCAGCACAGTTTAACTGATGATTGGCCCTGTTAGGATTTATGCAAATCCCCATCCGAGTCCATCAAAGCAGAGTTTGGTTTATGTCTGTGTCTTCGCCCTGTAATGGGATTATCCTCGCTCCACAGAGGCTCAATGTGTGGAAGTTTGCGTCTTGTCATTAGTACTGTAAATGACAGAGGAACACGGGGAGGCAGAGAGAAAGAGCAGGAGGGGAGCTGGAAGTCTGTTGATGATGGGGGGAGTCAGCAGAGAGGGGTGGGGGGTGAGCTGGAGATTTGAGCCATACCAGAGCTTTACAGCAGGCCACAATAGCATGTGTGGTGATTGTGTTGAAGGCTTGGCGTCCGGGGCGAGCTTCCCCCTCTGTGGACCGTTGTATGTGGGGGCCCCGCGGCTTTTCCCTCCTTCTTGTGGCCTGTTAGATGTCTTTGTTCCCCATGGCGGAGGCCAATTGAGAGAAGAAATAAGGGAAAAGGGAAAACATTACCACAGCATCGCTCGTGTATGACCTCTCCCTACACCGCTGCCCTTGGGTGTTTTTTCTTTTTTTTTTTCTTTTTTACGTGTTTTATTCTTTTCTATGTTATGTCCTTTTGGCAACCCTCAGTGTCACATGCGGGTCTACGAACTGGCAACGCTCAGGAATCTACATCCTGGCTAATTTTAGCGTTGGGTTCCTGACCAGAAAACACATCCTCCAATTTCTGTCTATATCGGTCCTCCTGCTTGCGTCTTTCCGTTCTCGTCTCTCTCGCAAGCAGCCTGAGGCTGTTTCTTTCTTTTTTCTTTTTCTGCAGATTATTCTGTGAACTCACTCTCTTCCGAGATCCTTCATTTGATGAGTTTCGCCGTACTCTCGAGATGAGGCCTGACTTTCTACGTCCTGATCAGAGAACACGAGAGGCAGCTGAAAGCTCCTCTCCATGTCCTGGTCTGTAAAAAACAAAATTAACCCGTACTGTAATAAACCTCTCAAATAATATAATAGGGAGAAAATAATAATCCCCTGCATCAGGCAGTTCCCTCAGCGTTCCTGCCAAGAGATGTTTGATGTCACCACAGACGACATGAGGGGGAGCCGAGGGCCGTAACACAAGCTGCTGTTGACACAAGCTTTGTCTCCCAGCAGACAGTTTGTATATTTTAAAAGCGTCAGCCTAACTCGCTCCATGTTATTGCTGATGTCACCCGACGCTTTAAGAGTCCCACAGAACACCACCACACAGGAGACGGCCCACAGTGACGCACAGGTTCCCCGGAGGCTTCGGACAAGACGATTGTCAGAGGTTTCCGTTCGAATCGTCTTCGTTGAACGACCACAAAGAGCTTTACAAGTATTTACAAGTCATCAGGAATGCTGTGTTGAAGAAATGAATGTGCAACAAATTGAATGAAACTATTTAAGAGAAAAATTTTTCCGTTGACAATGAGAAATGTTCATACATGTAACAAAAAGAAGGAGCCTCAAGTTTTAAAAAAGGGGCTGACCCTAAACCCTTACCCTACCCTAACCTTAACCCTTCAAAATGGAAAACATAAGAGAACATATAATTCAGGTGAGTCACATGCAGGCGGCTCAAGAAAATAATTGCTCACCTAAAGTTATTTAGATTGATAATTAAAAATTTGAAACAATTGGGAGCTTTGGTCATCAAGGCTGGACAGGGACAATACATTTAGAGAGCAAAGATTGCAGTTAGAGAAATACAACCCATTTTCAGTACTGATTCACATAAATACTGTGGATTAAAAGATACTCTTATCACACTTTTAGAGGTGGTGCTGTTAATAATACAGAAGGCATTGTAACTGTTTAGATGAGTCTTTTTTTAAAAAAAAAAAAATAAATTGCTGTTCTGTTAATGGTGAACCAAATGTTTGGCTTTTGTTTTAAACAGACGTGATAAAATTTGATTCAACATTTGATTTTCCTGCTTGGAGTTTTTTTTTTTCTATTTTTGAAAAAAAGAGTAAAAATAATGTA